AAGAAGGACCACAGACCTCACCCATTTTACAAATGGGTGAAGGGCTCTAAGTTGGTCAAGACCACAACAGAAGCAGAGCTAATTGTCCCTTTAGTTATCTCAAGAAGCACAGGGAGTACAAACACATACCTTTCCTGGGATTATGGTCTTCTAGGGACCAAGCTAACATGTGGAAATGCAAATACCAGGAAGATCTAAGTAAAGAAACTAACAGGATACTCTGAATTTGAATCTTAAACATTTTTTCCATGCTACGCTGTAGAAATACAATAGAAGCAGAATTGACAAACACCATCCATATGCTACACTACAACATGAGAGAGCACAATGTGAACTTTACTCCTGGACTGAATCAAAGGAATGCATTAAAAAATGTGTAAGTGGAATACTGATTAACTCAATCTTCTCTTATTATGGAATTAAAAAACATATACCTGTAATTATGGCTTACCTCCGTTACAAGCAGAGCTGCCACAGAACTGAACACAGGCCAGCTTTGTGTATGAGTTCAAAGCCAGTATGGTGTTGCCTTATTTTCTTACCAACATCATCTTTATCCTCTCTTGCCCTTCTTCTCAGTTAACAAGAGTTATGTACTGAAAGTGCTGAGATAAAGTAATGGTAAGGATGATACCGCAAAAGGTATTTGAAAAGCAGAAGTAATTTACTACATGCCTGCTTTGTTTTACTTCCTAAGCCTTCCTGTTGTGAAAGGAAATTCATCTTTTCTGGCAGACTGCAGCCTTTTTAGGCCTGAGAGCTCCCCAGGAGCTTTCGAGTGCAGGTAAATGGATGTGAGACTCAAGGAGTACAGTACAAGGAACATGGAATTAATGCTGGATTTTGCTTTGGCTGTCACGTCTGACGTATAAGGAGAGTGCTACATGCCCTCTGCTCACGATTATGGGTCTGAAATGCCACGAATGGAAAGGTCATGTTACTGGTGGGTGAAGCACCCAACTAAATCTCCACATGAGACAGATGTCAGGGTGCTCTGAGACCCAGGGGCCTGGAATGTAGGAGTGCAGAGAAAGGACTTTGGATGGACAATAGGTGCAGCTTCTATTCTGCATGCAGCAGAGACCCCAAGAGTAGGCACAGGGGAAGCATCCACTGCCTAATCTAAATAGCACACAGAGTGGTTTTGTCCTCTTCTGTTCTCCTGCCAGTTTGCACATATGTTCTGAGTATACAGCCTGCCCTCCAAAGACCACTTACAGGGGCAATCACAGGGAAGCAAAGCAGGAAGAAAGTATCCAAAAAGGGAATTTGTTCAAGAGAAAAAAATGGAGACAGATGTAGAGCGACTAGTCACGGCTGGCGGTAAATAACCCTCTGCCTGAGTGCTCTCTTTCTCTAAGAGGAGCTCACATATTCCATTTCATATTTCCTTTCTAGGAAGTTAAATCTTTGTTTTCCTGGCATTTGTTCTTTTTGTTCTTTCCCCTATATACTTTCCCCTTTCTGTATGGTCTAAAATTGTCTTCTCATTTTCCCTTTCTCTTCCACGTTGTTCTCTCAAGTGTGACATTTCTCCAACCTAATTTCCCTGCACTGTCCCAGGCAACACCTTTCTCTACCACCCTCTCACAGCCTCTGTGCCACGAGCACTTTGCTCTGTCTCTACATGTGTGTAGGTGTACGGGTACTTCACCTGCTCCTGCGTTAGAGTCCCCGCTTTTTCTCATGTGCACACCTCAACATTAAGCAAATGCAATACACACAGACAGAATATTCATCCTCTCGCTCCCATAAACCTGTCAAGGCATATAGGCCAAGAAGCTATCTCTGCATAAATCTAACTCTCCTGTGAGGAAGCAATCTACTCAAAGGCAATAAAGCCAAAGGATATATTATTATCTTTGGTGTGGATCCTACTGGGCTGGGAGGTTGGCTGCTGGCTTCTCTCTGAACTTTTCTTCCCAGCCAGAACAGGCAACCCACAGACAAGTCTAAGCTTCCTTTTCTTGGTCTGACTTCCTCCTCCTGTTGTTTGGCCGGTAACCCAGAGGACAGGGTTTAATTATGGAGTTTGGAAACCTGGCTTAGGCTACTCTGCCAGCACAGGATAAAACTTCAGCCTGCCTTCTGAACCACCAGCATTCTGCACCGTCGATACCTGCGTTATCCCACGCAGCATAAAATGAACCACATGGAAGAAGTGCCAAGTCAAACAAAACGATGGTTTTAGTCTTTAAACTTCTACTGTGAATTTCGCTGAGGAGAAACAAAAACATTGAAGCCCCAAGATAATCCTGTGTCAAAACTGTGCCATCGTTTTGACTGCAGATGAAATAAATGGCAAAGCCTTTTTCTGGAAGGGAAAGACACCGCAAAGGATGGATCTGAAACAGGTCCAGGCTTCAAAGCTCCCCTCTCAGAGAGGAGCTTTGTGGTGAGCCACTGGGAAATACGGGATGTTAGCATCATTTGTACGGCTTTCAGGTGACCAATATATTTTCTAGGCAGATGCCCCATTGAAGACTCATAGAACACTTTATACTTCTGGAGATAAAGCACCTATGCCAAATACAAAGGGATAGATGCTAACAGCAGATCCATGTGTGATTTCTGAGGTAAGGCAGGGCACTGTGCACAGACCACAGCAGGATGTGTCTCTCAGGGGCAAGCACCTTGTTGCCCTAGCATAGAAGGACACTTCAGTACTGTTTTGTCCTTTGCCACTGATGAGCTGTGGCTCTTTAGGTAATCTCTCTGCCAGCTGTGCTCTTGCAGTGACCCTGTTTTACAGAGAAGCTGAGGCAATGAATTCAGAGGACAGGCTGCTTGAAAGCCACAGCAGAAGAATTGGGGTGAGGCTGTGTGGATATAGCATAAAGATGGTTTGTAAGTGCATCCCACGCAGGCAGGATAAAGCTCTTTTTCTTCCTAGCTGTGACAGTGATAGATAGCTTGGTGAGTCTGAGCTGTATCTAGTTGGTACCTGGCTTGAGTCCCTGATGCTGAGAGGTGATTTTCTGCCATTTTACAGGAAAGACTAAGCAGAATCTGGAATTTTCTGTAGTAAGTGAGGAAGGTCACGAGGAAGGAAGAACCTTCTCTTCTCTGACTTGTTCTTGCCTTTCTGAGCAACTCAGGGAGTTTGACACGGGCAGCTCTCCATGATGGGCACCCAGTGGTGCCAAGAATGGCAGACGTTCTTTGGAACTGTAAGGCTTTAGATACTTGTCTTCTCCAGCTGAGAAGCTCAGAACCACCATCCATTGAGGACTTGGATGAGACAGAGGTAATGACCACATGTGGGGAAAACCACCAGAAGCGACAGCAAAATTAATAGCCAAGCTCTGGCTGTTGCACAAATGGAGAACATTTGTCATTAACAAAGAATACCCCAAATTTTGGGGGGAGTTAGCCCCCCATCTGACAATGATGTAGAAGCAGTGACTCAGTCAGCTTTTAGCCATCTGTGTCTGCAGAGGAGGTTGTGATCTCTCGCTTTCAATGGGCGATGAGCTTTTGTTCCTGTTTTTGCCGCTCCATGAGCAGGCTAGTTTAGTACAAGGTGAAGCTCTGCCTTACATCATCTGGAGCCTGGAGCTGATGGAGGAAACAGCCCCTAGTGTCTACTGAGCAGGACACCTCACTGAAAGCACCAGAGCCCTGGGGACGGCGGCGGCAAGGCAGTCACGGGGAGCCTGGCACTTGTCTGCCTGCAGGTCCACCCTCTCCTCCTGCCAAAGTGCCACATCTGCAGTCAATAAGGGCCCACAAGCTGGCTCCTCCTCATTAGAGGAGAGAGGGCAGCTGGCAGGGGATCCTCCAAGGGCTCCCAGGCACGGGAATCAGTCCCCTCCCAGTCTGGAATAGCCCAAATTTGGTGACTTTCTGGGCATGCTGTAAAGGACAGCTGTTTGACAGGGTCTCCAGAGAAAGCTGTGGGTATGTTTCCTACATGATGAAGGATATAGGTGGCTGGCCAAGTGCCCACCGAACTGATTTTAATGCTGTTCAGGTTGATTTTACTTTTCGGTACTGTATAGTTCATTATACACAGTGCCCTGGACAAGCATGTGTTGTTTCCAAACAAACCCAAACCCATATTATTGTAAATCCAAATGAACAAGAAAGGAAAAAAAATACATATTGCAAAAGACCCTTTGGGGTGTTTAGAGGGCCTTCTCAGACACTGGGAGGCTGAAGATGAAAGACATGCTTGCCTTTATATAACAAATAAGACTTCTGTTATTTTTATTGGCATATTCATTAATTGGAATTATTATGTAGCCATAATCAAAACTGAATCATTAACCTCACCTACACATGTAGCACTGACCCAGAAAACTATTTCCGATAGTATTAAGCACCCAGATGATCTTGGGATAAGTGATCAAGGGACAGTTAAGTATGTAACATAACATAACCCAAAAGATGATCAACAAGAAAGATCACACACAAAAATTAACTGAGAAGAGGCACAAGAGCTGTTTCCTAGACCTTATGAAGTGTAACACCCAGAGTTATCTATTTTGATATGAAGCCTCCAATCACACTTCATGGTATTACAGATTAATAAAACAACTCCTTCGGTAAGTCTCTTAAAAGTCATTACTAAGTGAGCTCAAGTGTTGTATAATGCTTGAAAAGTCCTTCTACCTTCTATAAGTTTAGGGATATTTATTTAAACAGTATAACTGAAGGGTACAGCCCAGACAAGTACTGCTTTTTGCTAAGTGATTGTCACTGCTCTCCCAGAGCTGAATCTGTGGCTTTTGACAGAAAAAAGACCTCCTATCTTTTGCTGCATTATTTAAATACTTCAGATATTTGGCCAAAACACAGAAGTGACACACTACAGAAACATTCACAGCTGCAGGAGCAATAAAACCACTACAACACTTTCATGAGACTGACCTTTTCTCAGGAGAAGTTACAAGATTTTTACAATTGATCACCTTTCTACACAGAATTCAGCATATTCTGATAACAAAAACAGAGCAACTGGAGATCAGGTTCTCGGGCTCCTGAGAGCCATGGCTTACCTGGCTCCACTTCATGCCATCCACTTGACTGGCTGCCACTTCCTGGAGAGCGCCCTTGGCTTGTATAAAATGGCTCCTCACCAGGACTGTCCATCTCATCCTCCACAGACTTGAGACGTTTTGTGGAGCTGAGAAAGTAAAAACACGTCATAAGAATGTATGGAAAGGAATAAAGGCGCTTTTGTTGAGACATACCTTGCTAGCCCTGCTCGGGACTAACTTGGTTATGGACACTATAGCAGATTCAGGGCCCTGAGAAGGGGAAGGTGAGTCCTGCACAGCCATCCTGCCCACTCAGCCCCTCAGCGTCCACTTCTTGTTTCTGATTTGCTTCGTCGCCAATGACTAAGATTTAGTGAGATACAAAACAAGCTCTCACAGAGTCCAGACTGAAGCACTAAGCACACATAACTGTAACTAAAAGATAGTTTAATGCTCAGGCTTTTACAGACCACGAAGTAGGACATTTTTCATAATGCACAGAGGTCAATAAAAAGGCAAGAATTTAATTTGTATGGCGTGATTTTTGCAATTTGAATGAGTACAGTAATGACACACAAGACTTATTTTAACTGTCATATTTTTTCTACAGGTTATTCTGAAAGAAAAATTATCAGTTCAAACTTATATTTTCCGTCTTTTAACTGCAGCCATTAAATTAACCCAGCTTTCAGTCCTGTAAGAAGAAATGTAGGAAGTGTATGACGGAGGAATCCATTCTTGGTTCAAATGTTCATGTTATGCTACAAGTATAAGTGTTTTACTCTGCAACTGAACGCCATCAAGCATAAAAAGGCCCCAGCAGGTCTCTGGCCAGTGTCAGTACTAAAGCACTCCCTTGTGATGCCCCACACCTCCCTCACCAAAGGCTCAGGAGACAGAAGAGCCCTTTCAGTGGTCTCTGGTGGCCATTGGCTCAGACTCCAGTAGTTCTGCAGGGAGAGGAACCCAAAGCCAAAGACATTCAGCTTGGCTCTGTGTTCTATAATGAGTTGCACAGACTGCGTGGGGACGTTACCGAGAATTTCTCTTCTAAGTACTTTTCCAAGGCTGGGTCAGCTCACTTTTTTTTCCCCCGATCTGTATTCTATTAAGACTTAAAGCATTCAAGAACAGGCTCCTCTGTGTAGGGGGAACATATTTAACAGACATAAAATATTCCACTGCAGTTTGTATTGGTTTAAAACTCACAGCCTCTCCGCAGCTCCCCACCCGAAGGCTTGCACAGGTAGGAGCTGGCGGGTATGCAAAATCAGTTTGTGAGAAACAGGAAGAATAAGTCTTGTGGTATGTGTGGAATGCAGGTCTGGCCATTCCTTAATTTAGAGAATTGTTATGTGTCAATAGGGGAAATTGTGTGCATACAATATAATTACCGCCTGATCATTCTGCTGAGTCTGTGTATTTAAGGAATACTTTTTTTTCCTGACTGGGAACAGCCTAATGAGAGGAAAACAAACATATTACCAAGTTATTAACTACCCATGCTGTTTATAATTAGCTCCTTATCAGTGGTAGCTATTTGCAGAAGAACAGAAGAGCAACAACTCAGCTCTTAAGTAACATTAATAACCTCACTTTTTTGCTTCTAGAGTCCTAAGTAAATTCTACCTGAGAACAGTGCTAATGATGAGCACTGTAGGCTATGAAGTTTTACACACAAAAAAGACAGAGCACACAGTTTTTAATTGATGTGTATTGGGAATTGTAGTCACCAAGCTCAGTAATGTGCACACTAAGTGCAAGACCTAGAATATTCCTCCAGTCATTGCAAACTGGGAGAATTTCTTGCGAAGAGCTGGTCTTTAAAGTTGTTCTTTGATTGATTTTAATGAAAAACAACTACATTCAAACTATAGAGACTTTTGACACACGTACTTGCTCTCTGTAAAACTGGGGAACTGCAGACTGAGACAAAAATGTAAAAGAGGCCTGGGCTGAAGTCAGATTTTCTTGTCGTGTCTTTGAAATGAGTGGTCTCTTTTGGCTGTGGGGGAAGAAAGAAACCAATCTGGTTTCTCAACAGTGTTCAAGACTACCAGAGTGACTGGGCTTGTTTATAAATCTAATCTCATGGATGGTTAAAGGGAAAAAATCAAAAAGTATCCTTGTTTGATAGTTGGCATCCAAGCCAGAATCAAAATCTGACTGGGTAGTCATCTGCATTAATAATACCATTTTCCAGTGGCTGAATCACAAATTTCTAAATGCTCTATGAAAATCAAAATGCATTATAGGCCAGGGTCCTAAAACAATGTTAGTCTCACAGATAACACTTTAGCTGCATACAGATCTATCTTAAGTCTTTTCTTTCCTGCTAGGACAAAGCCGCACATCTTGCTATGCTCCAAATTCTCTTCCGCCACAAGTGAAACTCCAGCAGTTCCAGTGGAACTTCTCCCAGTACACCGAGATACAAGCCAGAAGTTATACGAGTCAATGCAGCAGTTTTTTCTTCAAGCTTGTACTTATAAAAAGAACTTTAACAGCAATCCAGTTGAACATTCAGCTCTGTGAGTCTGAAACAGCTCCTCATTTTGAGGCCCCCGAACAGCTTGTCAAAGGATTTAATGGTTACTTTCCCAGATGAGTAATGATGCTGGCCTGAGTTTCCAAGTAACCTGGTAGCAGGCAGAGATTAAATTACCTGGTAGAGGATGTGCTAGGTAAGGACCTCCTCATTGCTCCTGGGCTCATGCTGTAGTATGAAGAACTTTCCAAATCTGAGAGGGAGAAATTAGGGCCTGTTCCTGCAGCTATCGGTGCTGGGGAAACAAAAGATATTGCAGTCAGTAAGTCATGTGAATAAGGCATGAATTGCACTTCAAAATCACTTTCTTCTTCCTCATGAGTGTGTTTAGTTCCACGATGAGAACAGGTGGGACGAGGAAATTAGGAAATGCTAATAGAAACCGGCACTGCAATCAAGAAGATGTAAATTTTATCAAGAATACAATGTTCTGTGAGATAGATTCCTTCTTACATTCCTCCTTTTTTAAAATGAAGCAATTATGGCAAGGCTTTCTTTAAGTACTGCTTTTCTACTAATATAATTCTAACATTTAATGAAACTTGTTGCTTTTGCTTTTAGGACAACATTGCATCTATTGGCATAGTTACAAATAGGCTGCATCATCCCTGTAGTGTGCTTGGCATAATCTATAAGCAGTATAGGCAGAGAAATACACAGCACCTCAGGACCGTTGGTATGTACGTGATGTACATCCACAAGCACAGAGGTTACAAATGTTCCTTGGAGAAAGCACAAAAGCAAATGAGAAACCCGAGTTCTTTTCTGCCTGTGAACATCTGAGTTTTCCTCTGGCCTCTCCTCCAGCTAAATCAAAGCTAGAGATATATGACCTTCAAAGACTTTTCTCCAGCAGTTGGCTTCCACTGTTCACCTCTCATTACCTTATCCAGCACCTAAGTTTTACTGTAAAAGTTATGAATACCTTTCATTTCCCTGTCCTGAAGCCTTGGTTTTACATTAAAGCATAATGAATTCCTAGACACCCTGAAGTTTGCAGGCACAAGCCTATAAACTCTGGGAACAGAAAAGGAACTGAGCAGCTTAATGTTAAAGTCAACAGACAATGTATTTCACAAAGAAATGCCACTGTACAGCAAATGGTACCACATCCACTGTGCTATTTACAGGACAATACAACTTTGGGAGCTGACAATTACAGATGATGATTTTCTCCCACATTTCAGACACATCTGAAAGAGGACGTACTGCACAATAAAACGCACAAGCTTGGCCTGGAATGTATTGTCTGAGAGCCCTGATTCACAGCAACAAAGGCGAAGCAGTCTCAATGCCACCCAAGGATGCTGAGCCAAGTTTAATCTTTGGTCTGAGAACCTGGCCCGTTTTCAAACATGAAAAAATCTTTCACTCCGACGGGGTAGGAGTGAGGAAATGAAGACAGGATCATTCCTATCGCCCAGCTAACATGCCTGGGCTGAAACACAGGCTGCTGGGAGTGCTGCCATTGACTGTAGTGGGGCCAGTATTTCACCCCAAGTCTTAAGGAGCTCACAGTGTCAGATTTGACAGAGGAATAATGTAGCTTTGCAGCTGCCTCATCATCCCCACAAGACAATTAGTTGTTGTTTGGCAAGGATCTTTTAAGAACGTCATTGAGACAGAAAGGGAACAGCATCGATAGCCACAGACTTAAAGCATGGGATGGAAAATACACAACACCATTAAAACTGGAGAAAATCTGGAATGATCATTAAAAGGAATTAAGTTGGGAAGTAATTTATGACAAGAACTTTCAAACCCTTTGTTATCTTCTCTTAGCTATCACACACTTCCTGCACACTGGATATATACGAAAGGGTGTGTTAACTGAAAGAAACTAACATTAAGCACAGTAAAATTAACTGGTTTTATCAATTTGTGCTTTCTGCAACAGTTTCCTGACAGCAGCTACAAGAGGCTGTAAAACTGATGAATTTGCATGGAAAAAGAAACCGGTGTAAGTAATTTGTGTAAAAGGTAACACGGACGTGGACTGCTATAATTCAGACACCCTGCAGATAGCAGACTGCTGCAGTGTGAGCAGTTATGGGTTAGAAAAATGACCACACTGCAGTCAGTCTGACTTGAATGGAAATCAATCATAAAGGTACTCTCTGCAGCATCTACTCCACAGTTTTCAGCAACTTCCTTGCCAAACAGATCTGTGCTCTGTAAACCCTTTGCTGATCAATTCCTCTGCACCCTCTACCTACCAAAGCCTTACTTACAGGTTAAGCATACTATTTTCCAAATGGGAACATTAAAAGGCGAGCACTAAATTAAAGCACCGTTTCTTTCTGAGGCACGACGAATTTCCTAGGCACTGCAAAATTTATGAAACAGTTTTATTCCAAACAGATATGGAAGAAAAACTGGTCTGTGAATAACGCTTCTCTTCTTTCTCTCCCTCCTGCCTCTGTTGATTCCTCTCTCCCCGAATCCTGGCCATTTCTGTTCCAAGCCTTGAACTGACCCTATAGGAAAATGAAATGTATCTCCAGAGCAGGGGTGGGGTAGGAACAACGTATTGCTAACGCTGTGTAAACTTAGCACAAAGTAGAAAGGGCTAATCACACAGTAATTTCCGCCCGGGGTAGCAAGCATGAAGGATGCTTTGTCACAGGCCAAACCACTCAAGAACCTGTTTGCAACCTGCGGGTTAAAGAACTACCCCAATCCGTAATATACACCAAGAGATCTAAGCAGCAGAGGTTAAAGTGCCTGTCTAGCCTGCAGCAGTGAGTACCTACAACCCTTCGGCAGTTCTTAGACGGGAGCCACTATCCTGGCACAACCAGCTCAAGGTCTCTGTCCCTAAAAGTGGTTTGGCAAACCTTGCACAGGTTCTGAACTCCTTCCTCCTACCTGCCTGATGGGTGCATATTTGATGCTTGTCTTTCAGCAAAGGGTATTCATACCTTTGCTCACAGTTACTATCACAAAGCACGGCAATGTGCTGATGTGTACAGCCCAGCCCGAGGCTGTCAGGAAGAGGTTAATGTTTTCAGTCTGCATGGCGGAAGGTTGCTTCCTCTTCCTGGCTGGGTTGAAGCCCTGTGTGCTTTCTCACTCTGCTTCAGCTTCCTCACACCTCCTGTGCTAGGCTTTGGCTGTGGGGAGCTCACTGCCTGGCATCTGCCTCCTCTATTCACCCTTGTGTTTTGCCCACAGGAGTGGCCAGGAGGCCTGCTCCTAACAGCTTTTCACATTGCCTTGTAGACTGTCCACCTCACATGTGCCCAGAAAGCTGATGGGCAGGGAACGCTTTCATCTATTCACAGGATTCCCCACTCTGGAGATTAAGCAAAGGGATCAAAGTGGTGCAAACTGTGGTCAAACTCTGCCTAAATTAAACCTCTTCATTGAAGAAGAAATGCTCTGCAGCAAAGTGACCTTCTGATGGCTCAGGAACATCTCCCAAACAGGAAAGGGTGTCAGAAACTGCAGTTGTGAATCAAAACAATAGTCTCCACCTATGTGCAGGCATCGAGATTTCATCTGACCCAGGGCCCTGACCTGCCAGGGGGTGAGGAGGAAGGACCCCTCTTCCCTTACTACCCAGTGATGTCTGCAGGCTTTCTATGCAAACAAACTGATGCTAGCCCCAGCTCCCATTTCAGCTGCTGGCATCTGTGCAGATGGGACATGTTTTGCTCACTCGGAGTGGAACAAGAAGGTATTTTGCCCAAAAGGAGGAGGAGGAGGAAGGTGGGTCCCTCTCCTCAGCACCAGCACTGTGCTACTGCCAGGGACACGGGGCAGCATCACCTACTCCCTCCACTGCCAGCCTGTTAGCTCAGATCTTCAGCCGGAATGGCAAGAAAAATAACAGAGAAATTAACAAAAATCCCTCTGACTTAACCCAATTGGAATATTTGTTTTGAAAATTTTATTGAATTACAGAGCAGGAAACCCACTAAATAGAACCAGCCAGGCTGGCATTTGTCTTCCTTGGAATCCGGCGCTCGTTTTCAGTCATGTTAATATTAAGTTTCTCTCTTTTCCATTTTTATGTATTTATTTTTACAAAGGGGCTGGGATGTGACTAAGATCATTACATGAGTAACGCTACAGCAAAGTGATAATGTGTTTAAGGTTAAATGGGAGAAACATGACATTTGACTAATAAACTTTTTCCTGTGCTGTGACTCCATAAACAAAGGGAAACACACTGTGCTGCTGCTGCTGCTGCCGAGGGGAAAGGAGAGCTGGGTGTTGGGCTCTTTTTCTTGCAAGGCTTTTGTTTCTTCCACACTGTATCATTAGATTCAAAGAGGTTGTGGCGACTACAACAGATATGAAATGTGTGATGTTCATTTTAAAATTACAAGTACAGCCTGCTATTGACCATCTAATTATGCTGAGTTCCATTTATAAACATAGCAAACCACTAAGTTTATAGAGACTTTTTGTGCTGCTTTAATAGGATATTGATCGAGAGCAAGGTTTGAGTGGACTGCCATTGAATTGTGTAATGGCATACAAAAGGCAAGGTCACGGCAACTGTTCACTCTATGCCTGCAGTCTATTTTTTATTATAATCTTTTTTTTATCCCCTTCCCCTCATAGCCAGGCCCACACAGTATGTTTTGGATTGCAGGGCTTTGCTAAGGAATATAGAGTATCTTTTTAAATGTTAATTTTCATGCTGCTGACTTTAACTACCTTCACTCCTGTAATGCTTAGTATAGCAGAAAACACACAGGCTGCTGTTTAGAGTGAGCTGTTTTATTACACCCACACTTCCACACACGTGCTCTGCGTGGAGGAGGGTGTCTTTTCCTCTCCTGGGCTATGAGAAGGCAGCAGTGTCCTCCCTGCCCCTTGCACCCACACCTTGCCGTAGGCACCCAGCATGTTCTAAGATGCCCAGAGAAGCTGTGGCTGCCCCATCCCTGGCAGTGCTCAAGGCCAGGTTGGACACAGGGGCTTGGAGCAAGCTGCTCTAGTGGAAGGGGTCCCTGCCTGTGGCAGGGGTTGGAACTGGATGAGCTCTAAGGTCCCTTCCAACACAAACCAGGCTGGGATTCTATGATTCTATGACTTGCCCTGCAGTTTGTTTTGGCTTTACCTGGCCACTGGATGAAGGGCAGGAGGAAGCTGTTTTCCCTCTGTCACATCCACACTCAATATCTAGAGTAGCAGCAATTACTTTCATTTCTAGCCTCTGTCTGCTTGCCGCATGCCACGAGAGCTTGAGACCCTGTATCCCTTGCTAAAGCTGCTGCTAACCAAGTCTGGCACCCAGCAGCATTGGTGTTGCAGGATCCCAAGCTTTCCAGAATGCTTTGGCCACAAAAGCACCTCTTACCTGTGGAATTAGTGTAACCATCTCAGGCATAACTAACTGGACCATTTCTGTGTTTATACAGGAGCAGTAACTGCACGTATGCTTGTGTGCTTGTGGTTTCACTGGTTCATTAGAAGGATTGAAAGTCACCCCACTTGCTCCGTGCAGGTCCTTACTGCACACAGCTATCATCTTAAAACTCAAAGCGTGGCATTTGCAGCCCAGGGCGCAGTCAGAATTCCCTTGTTTATCAGCATGAGGAATGATGTAATTTTGACAAATAACACAGCACAAAACAAATATGTTTGATTTGGCTCTAGCGAACATTCATAAATCCTAAATCTTTCCTCACATCCTGGGCAGTGCAGTTTATCTGGCTGCTTGAAGGACCTCCAAGGGAGGAGATCTTCCCAGCAGCTCTCTGCATCAAGAGCACATGGTGCAGACCCAAAGCCAAGACGGGAACAGCCTTCCCCATGCCTCTCTCCCTCTTCCCAGCCTCTGCAGGACTGTATGTAGACTTGGTGGTGGGTTGGCACCAGTCACCCCTCTGCCGGCACCTTTTGCAGAGGGTTCTTCCCAGCGCCCTGCAGATAGCTGCACAGAGTCAGTGGAATATTTTCCTAGCAAGGGGAGGGAGGGAGAAGGTTTTGCTTGGCCAACAGCTCACTGTGAGTCTGCAAAACCCGTTCATCTCCAATGCTTCGGCTTCTGAGCCTTTTGTTGTCAGCCCAAAGCTCTCTAGAGCTGGAAGAATGAAGTCCCTGCTATCTGAGACAAGGACATGTAATGATAGGACAAGAGGGAATGGCTTTAAACTGACAGAGGGCAGACTTCAATTAGATGTTAGGCAGAAGCTCTTCCCCATGAGGGTGCTGAGGCGCTGGCACAGGGTGCCCAGAGAAGCTGTGGCTGCCCCATCCCTGGCAGTGTTCAAGGCCAGGTTGGACACAGGGGCTTGGAGCAAGCTGCTCTAGTGGAAGGGGTCCCTGCCTGTGGCAGAGGGTGGAGCTGGGTGAGCTTTAAGGGCCCTTCCAAGCCAAACCAGTCTGGGATTCTATGAGGGGTCCCCCCAGTACCTGTGGTGACAGACAACACTTAGAAAGGAGCTCACTCCCTTCACCTGCTAATAATGTAGAACTGACAGCATGGTCTGCAATATCCACATCAGTTGGTGTAGAGAGGGGTCTATCTGTTTTTCAGATGGAATTTATACTTTCTCTATTTTACTGTGCTCTGCAAGATTCAGTAGCTGGGTAGCACTTCGAAAGTAAATCTGCATCTGCAGGACTGAAGAAAGCAAGTTTCTATTACCAAAGCTGTCTAGACTTGTTCAATAGCTCACAGAAACTGTGATGATCAGCACTGATGGGTAAGACAGATAATGGTAACAGCTGACCTTTCGCTTGATTAATTCATTCCCCAGATTTACATGATGGAAACAACTGCCTATTACTTGGACTCCTTGTCATGTGGACCTCTGGGAACTTGACTAAAGAAATGTGGCACGTAAATGCTTCCAACAATATTTTATAGGAATAATCTCAGGTAACAGCAGCCACAGACCAGTTAAAATTGTGGGAAATCACTTGTCTCTATCATAGAATCATATAGTTGAAAATGTCTCTGCTCATTGCAGGAGGTTGGACTAGATGAGCTTTGAAAGTCCCTTCCAACCCAAACTATTCTACGAGTCTATGATCATATTATCAAAAGCAAGCATGGGAAGGAAAATGACAGTGGCCATACACAAAGAGGACCTCTTTGTAAAGCAAACACAGAGCGCACTCAGGAAGAGAGCAGAGATTGAATGTGAGGGACCACTATAGGTCCCTAGCTTGCTCCTTCCCTAGCCATCATGGCTTTGGAAGGGGCAATGAGTTTTGGAAAGTAAAAGCAAGGAAATGGATTTAGGACATCTGATCATTTAAGCTACGAGCTCTTAATAGCTGCCAGTGAGTCTGGATGATGTTTGTTCATAAGCTGAGCACCCCAATGTGAAACTAACCCACAGACTGGTCTCAAATCAAGATACAGGAAGACACAGACAGCCCAACAAAGATTCTATTGAAAAGTGCACTCTTCAGAAGACCTTGCTTGTCAATTCAAGTAAATGTGCAGCAACTACATTGTTGCTCTGTTATGTTAAATAATTCTTTGAATATGAGTAGGCGAATTCATGCTGCCTTTGCTGGGAATTTGTTGCTAGACTCTACACTAAACATATCCTACTGGGTAGCTACGGTATGTCAGGCTGTGGGCTTCTCAGACCTCGTAAAGTAAACAAGGTTACAGCTGGTCAGTACATGTCTGGGGCATCTCCAAGGAAAATCCAGGGTGCTATCAAAAGTAGTGTAGCTAAATCAGTTGCTGGCACTCTTCCCTCTGAGTCAGTTGTGAAGTGATATCCCGATATGCTTTGGGGACACTATTTTTGGTAGAGGTGCTGGCTTGTAGACAGGATATAAAACTGAGGTCTTGACCTCCCAGGATTATTAAAGAGCCCGTGAAAAACAGTGCAAACCCCCTGTGTCTGGAACAGATTAAAGCTGAATCGTTTTATTTTGCCCACCAACATCTTCTTTCTTATTTATGATAAAGTTCCTGTCCTGCTCCTCCTACGTGCAGGTGCCCGATCCTTGGAGGTGGTGCACTTCATTGGCAAGCAGAGGGAACATCTCAGACACAGTTCCTGGTTTGCAAAACATGCTGAATGCTAGGATTTGTGATACATAATATTTTAGTTTAGTTACAATAAAGTATCATGGAAAATTAATAAGCATGAAACATGATGCTTCTCAGGTCAAAGCCAGACTCTGAGGGAGGCTGGGACTGGGGCTGGCTGTGAAGGTAGTTTCTGAGCAGCCTGTCCTTTGCGCACATGAAGCACGGCTGACAGAGTCCAGAGGCAGTTCTGTTTGTAGGTCTCCTACAGTGAAGATAAGATTGTGGTGAAGTGGGATGCCTTGCAGAGGGGGAGGGTGAATCCTTTGGGCTTCAAAAGCCCGTTCAAAGAGGGGCGATAACTTGGTTTTGCCCACCACAGCTGCAGGTACCAGCAAGTGAGTGTCCACAGTGCAGCGAGTTAGATGTCAAAGTCCCTATTTAAGCACTGCAGTAAGTGAACTGATTTGCAAATGTGCTGAGCACTCAGCACCTCCTCTTGACTTCTAAGTCCTCCTAACTTTGTCCTTCTCACAAAATTCCCACCAGTTGTCAGGGAAGAAAACTCAGGAGAAATGTCTGCCACAAACTTTGTGTCTCTGTCCCTCCAATGCATATAACTCTGACATTCATGTATCTCCCACTTGCCATGCTCTCTTAGTTCCAAATACAAAGCCAATTTCCTAGCTAGTGCAAGTCTTTCCAGAAGATGAAATAAAACAGGAAAATCCTCACAGAAACTCTGTGTTCTGACTCAAAACCACAGCTTCTCTGCTAGGTTTGTGCCAGTTAGATTCCAGCCCCAGAAAGCCTAAAACTACATGCTCAGAGCCAGTACACAAACAAATATTCCTGCTATCTAGGAGGAGAACCATTTTTACCACTGTCTGTGCTAAAGAAATTAGTTACAAACTCTTAGGTTTTAACGGGGCATGTAGCTGAGTGGTTCACCTGGATCAGTGGTAAATGGTGACAATGCGATGTTACTGCGTACCTGCACACCAGGTGCAAAAAAGACCCCCAAAGGACTAGTTAGTACCTATGGCCCTAGATTACTCTCTCCTTGGACTATCTGGATTATGCCATAGCAAAATACAATCAATGCACCTTTGATCAATAGAACAGGGTGGTGACAGGTACGCTTAATTCACTGTTGTTAGCGAGTATTGACAAGCCTGTAATGATCATGCTGCAGTGTGTCATTCATGTTGGGGGCATTAGCATTCTTTAAAGGTCAAAAAACAAATCCTTCTAGAAGACAGAATTCCATAAAGTTAATGGAAAATGCAGGCCTTGCAAAGTCAAGATGTATGCCCTGCACAACTGAGATTATCAGAGCTGAAGCTGGTTGAGATGCTGGCATTAGGGACAAGCACATCGATTTGCAGGTGTACAAATGCACGTACCCATGGCGTGGATGAGCACCACTTGCAAAAGCAGCATAAGAAAACTGCTAGGCTTATGTGCACAGATCATGTCATTTCTAGAGGTCTGGTTAAAATACCTCTACCAAAATGCACCTCCTTGGGTCGTGCAAGGGATCTGTCAGCTAAATGTGGGTATTTCTCTGCACTCTGGTACCGAGTCTGCCCATTTTCAGCTGGGTACCCAAGGAAGTTATCAACTTACACATGCAAATTTGCAGAATTATCATTATTATTTTTAATTTTTTTTTTAATTATGCTGTTTTATTTTCCCACATTAAAAGATGTGGCTTGTAAACACTATCCACCAGCAAGAAGCTGGGAGAAGACATTCTCAATTTTCAAGATGCTCTTTTTGAACTGAAGAAGGGGCACAATAAGTATCAAAGACAAAAAAACTGGTATCACAGAAACCACATAAACCAGCCCCAAAATGATACTTACTTTGTGAGACTCTTACTAGCTCAGTCACACTGAAAACACCTGATGTGACAAAACTGTCCTGGAAGCCCAAATGTCCTACAAAACAAACAGAGGGAGAGAACGGTGATTAGCTTTAAGCATTTAATGACAGTATTCTCAAATACTTTACTTTCATTTAGACTTAAAATGTGACATCTAATTTCCCACTTAGCAGTAATTATTGTTTATGTAGGTGGGTAACTAGTCATACAGCTATGTAGGCTGCTTTGTGGTTTTTATCTGGAGGTTAGGAAAGCTAACATGACACATCAGCAGGGAGATTTTTACATGTTAAAGCATCTCAACAGGAAATCTGAAACAAAAGAGGACTCTTTTAATAAACAGTTACCTTGGATGACCCCTAATGACTTCACAATTGAAATGAAAATACTGTACCTAGGAAACAGACAGGACAGCTAAGTTCCATAATCGTTTTAAACGTTATTCTCTAAAGAAACATCTGATCAGGATTATCTACCCTTTCATTCAAACAAAACAAGATTTAAAGATGTACTCTTCATTTTTCTAAGGCTACACTAGGGATATCTTGAAATAGCAGCTGGTTAAAAAACATTAAATCAATGCCTTTCCCACAAACAGAAAATATTCTAACATCTAAAACTGGCTCTGGAAAAGAGAAACAAAACTCTGCATATGAAAAGTATTAACTTTGACCTTTGGACTGTCTTTAGGTACCAGGGTATATGCTTCCATCCTCGCCTCCTTTGTGCAAGGAATGGCTCTATGTTCGGCATCAAAATGTTATTGCACTTTACATAACAGTATTTCCCTACCACCATTGAATTTTCATGGGTATGATCATTACGAAAGGAGCTGCAGCCCAGGGTGTGTGGAGTGGGCCACAGCAGCTCATGCGGGACATAGCTGGACTGCCATTAGAGGTCTGCAGTTAGTGGGCCAGGCTGACCTCCTGCTTTTGAAATCAGGGTCAATGGAGAAATCTCAGGATAAAGAGATTATGGAAAGAACCCTAAAGTCCTACTTGTCCATGGGATAAGTGGCATACCTTTTTAGGCTGTCCTACTTAGAGTCACTGATTCCGGCGCACGCAAACATATATTATTGAATGTTTTGCAGGGCACCATCTGCTCCACTGTGAATTGTTTGTCAGATTCAGCATGACTTCCCTACGTTCTGTATATCCCACTATACCCCATCCTCATCCTGGCAATACCTGTGCCCCTTCTTCTAATGACCAGAGCAACAGGACTAACCCAAGCTGCACATTTGTTCTTTTACGTGGGTGTTGTTTAAAGAAACCCCAACATATCCCATTGCTGTTTCTACCTGCAGAATGGAAGTAAAAGGAATGCATTTCATATTCCTTTTACTAGAAACATGACATGTCAGGGAGTATGCCATGGAAAGGTTTGGGAGAGATCTGGAAGGAGGTCAGCCATGCATCTCCAGCCAAGATCTCAGTGAATTCTGCTCCCACACAGAAGAAGTTCCCTGTTTCTGTGAGGATCCTCCGGTGCCAGATGAACACAGTCGCTAAGCTAACAGACTCGAGACAAGTTTCTACATCAGGCATGTTTTTATACTTCAGCAATAATGATGAGTTTTCAAACTGTGTATATGTATATCTTTGGGCATCCTTGTGTATGTGTGTATACATATGTATTATGTACACAAACATATAAATATACACAAATCTGTCATGCTCCAGCTGTAGATAAATGTACTATAAAATATTGAAATTGATGCTGAAATTCAACACAAACAAATTTCCTCAATCTGCAAACAAGGTTTTTATTTACATCGAGAGAATAAATTTTTTTCTACTTCAAATGAAAAAATGCTCCTACGAGCTTTTATTTTTACTTATTTTCAACTTTGAAATAGCTCTCAGATGATTGGAAGTGCTTTTGCCTGATGGGCTTTGTATTTTACCATAATAAAGGTGATGACTACATCATTCTGCTTTTTAGAGATGGTTGCTGGCCATACACAACGTTTGTTCATTGACAATTTCCTAAGTATTTTTAATATGAAGATCTACTTTTCATATGCTGCAGCAGACCTGCCTATTGAATTAAATGATCTGTGAATTAAAAATAATTCTCTTAGGTCTTCACTGAAACCACTCATGTGCCTAAAATTAAGCATATGCTTAAGTGCCTCACTGGATCAGGGCCAGGACGCTTACTACTCCACAGAGCCCTTCGGAGGGAAGCCAGTCTATGCTATGTAACTTCTCACACTGTGCTCATCATGGCAGTATCTGAGCAACTTCCAGAAGTGCATTCAGCAGTGCTATGAACATCTGCCATGTGTGGTTTTCTCACAGAGCACCGTACTGGCTCTGCTCCTGTGTCCATTTACACCTGCATTACTCAGGCAGGTTCCTACTGCACTAGGAGTGAAGGTGAAATTCAAATATGGAAGTAAAAAACAAATCACAGCTACTGTAGGACATTCGGCTGGTTTTGTAATGGAAAGTCTACAGCCCTTTGTAATCATAGAGTCATTCAATCAACTGGGTTGGAAAAGATCTGTAAGAGCATCAAGTCCAACCCTTCTCCAGCACTGCCAAGGCTACCACTAACCCATGACACTGATGGCTTCATCTACGCGGTTTGTGAACGCTTCCAGGGATGGTGACTCCACCACTGCCCTGGGCAGCCTGTTCCAATGCCTAACTACTATTTAGGTGAAGAAATTGTTCCTAATATCAAATCTAAACCTCCCCTGCTGCAGCTTGAGGCTGATTGATACCTTTTGTCTTATCATGTGTTACTTGGGAGAAGAGACAAACCTACACCTCACTACAACCTCCTTTCATGTAGTTGTAGAGAGTGACAATCATCCAAGAAACCATGACAGTCACATGCCTAATTGCATTACCTTAACCTTGCAAACACAGGTAAAACCAGAGATGAATGCGCTGTGGAATGGTTTGAAACACATTTTAGTTCTCAGGGTTGAGAAGAGTTGGGTCAGCTAGCCTGAGCCTGCTAACTTTGTTATCCTTATTTTGCTGGGTATACTCGAAATGTCTGCTTCCTTCTGTAGGGACATTTCTATGCTTGTACATGTAATAGTAATCATTAAACAACAGCATGCAATGAGAGTGATTAGGTTTTCATCCTTCAGTACTGAAAATAAACATTTCACAAATGAAAGGTGGGTTTCACAACTCTCCCAATTTGTTATTTACTTATAAACATTAGGAAATCAGGGGCTTTTCTCGGCAATCATTAATAATATCTTGATACCCATAAAAGCAATGCCCTTGGCTTAGGGTTGTATCTTGAACTCATTTTGATGCACGGCTGATCTGTGAATTCCCAGTTCTGGGGTACTCCATGAAAGTTTAAAGCTTTGCATGGATGGTTCAGACTGCGCAATCCTAAGACTAGCTTTTGCTGAGCTGTGATAACAGTGCAACAAGAAAATGAGAGCAAAATGACAAAGAAGCTGGATATGTAAAAGGAGAACGACTGGGAAATAGCAGGATTGACAAAATATGTGAAGTAAACATTTTATGCCTATTAACAGGGGTCAAAAGGCAAAAATATATCAATTTGGTTGTTCTGTTTAACTGTGATTGAGAAAAAGATAGGTAAAGTCAAGCAAGTACATATGCAGGTGTTAGAAATAACAAGTTTCTTTACTGCAAAGATGGTTAAACATCTATAAAGCTTGCAAGATTTACTTTTCAGAGGGCACTTTAGTGAAATCTCTGCAAGGTGCTACTTCTGCTATATATCCCAAAGACAAGACACAGGAACTGCTGTCTGTGATGGGGTTATCTCTGAGTGACAGTCACGTTTTGGTAGTAAAGCAGGTGCTCAAAATGAGGATGAGAGAATTTTTACTCACTTGATAAAAATGAACAGAGCTCATTTCTGGATTCTGAGTATAAATTCAGTCACCTGCTAGCCAAGGCAGGCCCTGACTCAGCAAAGCAGCTACAGCACGTGCTTGATTTTAATCACATGCTCGACTTAAGCACATGCTTGTTTGCCCCGCTGGATAAAGGCAGGCTGACAAAGTTAAGCAGACATTTAAATGCATTGTTGATCCATTCCTTCAGCCCATGTCTAGGTGCAGCTAGGAGTTAGTTCAGCATGCAAGACCTCACTTTAGCTCACCAGGAGGATGATCGGTTTTCCCCCATAGGGGAAAACCCCAGGCTAATAAGACCAAATTGAATAAAGCAGATCAAGATACTACTAAATCTCATGTCATTACCCAGTCACACATTTAGTGTAGTGTACAAACACAATTCTACACTATCGTAACAAGTACCACATGAATAACATCTTTCTATAACTTGATGACTGCTGTAACTGGGGAGAAAATTCATAATGCAATTTCCATATTCTTTTAGATCCCAATGAAGAAGCCTGAAGAAAAGGCTTGAATTGCAGGAGCCTAATTCTTATCTCAAAGAAGTTTTAAACAAGTCTTTCTACACTGATCAAATAGAGTTTCACCTCATTTTCTCCTAATTTACACTGGCAGAGGAGAAATCAGGATTAGGACTTGTTGTCTAATGCTATTTGTTTTGAATTATTAAGCAAACATTCCTATTTCAATGAGTAAACGTGTACAAAGGCAACTAACCTTCGTCCTAAAATCTAGCTTACAGGGAGAGCATTGTCTGCTTTCCCAATTAATGCGGTAAAAAGGAGTCTCAGACGTTGAGCTACCAATCAAGAGCTCATGTTGTAGCTTGAGAAAATCATGACTGATGCAATTACTTTTATGTAGAAAGTCTGAATATGGTCTATAGGTTAAAGTTCATGGGGTTATTGTTGCTTAATTGAATATCAGAAGATGTTTTCAAGGTGCTCAAGGTATTATTGTTATTTAATTAGCAGGCTTCCTTGTGTAAGCCAACAGTGTTATTTTTATTCTAAAATAGCTAGATCGCACCATAAATATACAAGGTATTTTGGAAACGGAGATACAGCTCGTTTCCTGAAACCCAAGCTTAAATAACACCAGGAAAAGTTACTCCTTTGAAGATGGAAAAGTCTAAATCCACTTATTTCTCTTCCACTACTGAGAGAGTGTATTAAGCTTTG